AGCTCAGCACCACACCACATATGTATGTACATCCATCCATCATTGATCGCGGAACATTGCTCCAAACACAAATGTATTTGTTCGAAAGCAATTAAAATCAAATAAATACTCGGCAACAGAATACCGCTTGGCCAGGGAAATCAATAAGGCAGCAGCCAGATCCACAAACAAACAAAAACTTGGCCATCAACTTGGGGGCTAATGAAGCCAGCAAAAGCAAACTAGTTGGCCGAAGTTCGCTAAAAAGTGGTCGTACCCCTCGAAAAAGAGCAAAATGTAGCTGGCGAATACACGAGTTGAATTACAGAAGAAGAACAGCATTTTGCATAAATTAGAGCGAGCCATGCAACATGAAAATCGCTGAAACGTGTCCGAAGCTGCTGACAGCGCGGCCAGAGGGGCGGCTGGCGGTAGGCGGAAGGGGAGTGGCAGTGGCAGTGGCTGGCTGAATAAAATTAAGCAAAAGCTGTTAATGACGGAACGCGAATCAGCTCGGCTCAAAAACTCGACTCAAACCCGACTTGAGTGCAGTTGCCGCATGCAACCTGCAACATGCAACATGCGAGGCGGCAGCAGCACTAACAGCAGCAGCAGGGGCATTAGCAACTCGCTCTAAAACCGCGAGTGTGGGCTGGCTTGGGCCAAATGCACCGGCTGCCGCTTCTTTGGCCGCGCCGATTAATTATGCATTTTAGTCGCTGCCGCTGCTGCTGAAAGCGCAGATGCTGGAGCTGGCGACCACGATGCTCTTGTTTGACTTGAGTGCCAGTGGCGGCAAGAAACGGGGATAACGGGGGCTTCAGGCATATGTTTTTATAGCCAAAATAAAAATGTTATCTTAAATAAATAGCAATACCAATTATCTTGACACAAACAACTAACCAGCTCTTATACTTTAGAAGTATATGGAGAATATTATCTATTTTGCAGATAGTTTATTCAGTAAACTTTATTTACTGTTATTTTAGAACCTATTACCAGTTCAGTAATAAACTTTTATGGGTTCTTGAATTAAATATTCTTATTTATAAATAATAACTACAGTATTGCTAGTCAAAGCAAGTGCAATATATGGACTAAGATGCGTAACTCAATAGGTTTTGTTCAAAAACAAAGATTAAAAGAGCGCTTAAGAGCCTGGACCTTTTATTTTATGTACACATTCCTATTCTTAACCAGTCTAGATCTGGCTGTCTGCATACGTTCTTCCTTAGAATATAACGGTCTTAAATAAGCAAACAGCACTCTTAAATTAGTGTAAAAAATAGTTTCTTATTCATTTATTACAATTAAGACCCAGGTTGACATATAGTTTATTAATTCAAAAACATCACCCCATTGCAAATCAAATCTTGAAATAGTGTTAGTTTTTGCAAAGTCCCTCTGGAAATAATTTTCCCCATCCGCCTCTGGAAGGCGCTGCGCAGCTTGCTCATTGCTTATAGCGTATCAGCATCCCTGGTCGCCTTGGATCGGATCGTACGCTATACTGCTCACTATGAGTATATAACGAATAACGTATAACGAATACCGCCTAACGGTACGAGTGCACTAAATCACCACGCGGTACTTAAACAGGCGTTGCTGCACACACATTCTCGCGGGACGCGAGGAACTCGTGCAACGGGCCCGACTGGCTCCAGACCCAGGCCCAATCCCAGCCAGATACGATACCCATCCCAGGCGGTGTCCCGATTCCAGGTGAGGTCTAGCCGCGGACAGGCACACAAAATGTGCCCGGGCTCGTACAAAAACCCATAAAGAAAGCGAAGAAGCTGAGGGAAACGCGCAGCGAAATGCATAAAAACGCTGAGCGACAGCAACACGTGCAACATATGACGCGATTGCATGTACGGGCTTTTTTGTTTCTCATTTTCGACTCGGAATGGATCGGATGGGATTATGGTTATTCGTGTGACGTAAAGGCAGTCAAACGCGGCAGTTTAACCCGAGACCCGGCCGCGCCAGGCAATAAATTGTGGCGTTTTGAGGGGCTGCATTTGGGAGTCGTTCCGAACGACCCAACAATGGAACACGCAACGCAACAAGGTCACGAGTTGGGGGGGCCATTGAACGAGATTTCATAATGGCCCTGCGCTGAACCTAGCAGCAGTGGGCCACGCCCCCGGGCCAGAAATAAATGCGATTCTCGGTTGGGCATCGGCATCGGCATCTCAGGATCTGGAATCAGAAATCGGGGATCCCCGATCGCAGATCGTGTGCTGACCACGGATAATCAAGCATTACCGGGCCTAATGCCAGGCCTAAAGCCGGCCGAGACGGGCGTTTATCTTTCGGCCAATTGTGAAAGTAATTTAATGCGGACTGGCTGGCCGGACTCTGTTCAATTATTAGGAATTGCATGTTACGTATTAATTTCAATTGCTGCCGTTCGGTGTCGTAGTGCACTCGCAGTTCCCAGAATCGGATCCCCGTCGGAGAACGGGTTTCCCCTGCTTTTCCGAGAGCCCAAATGGTTTTGAACCAGTTACGTGTTCCCGCTGAGGCTTTTTCTGGGGAAACTGCGTGTCTAAAATTTAATGAAATCGTGGAAACACAGCGGCGATATCGTGGAACGAATAGAAATGCCATCGATGCTGTGGTGTTGCACATAATTGAGATATTATTATAGCTGCGATTTGGCATTTGAGCAGCGCGAGACGTGCTGAAATTGCCCAAGTGACCGTTAATGAGGATCGGATTGTATTGGATTAGATCGGAGATGTGAAAAGCGGGCAGATAAATCGATTCGAAAGGAACGGCGTGGCTATGGCCTCTGGAACGGGCCTCTTATGGGCGTGTGAAACGCATACAGAGCGTAAATGGATTACGACAATTACAAGTGTTACAGGTGACTAATGGTCCGAAAAGGAAAAGCAAACAGCATGCCGCCTCATCAGAGCAGCATTTTCAAAAAACCTATGCTAATGGGTCTTTATATCAAGCTCGCTTTCCGTAGAAAGTGAAGAGCGAAACTGAGACTTGGGAAAAACTGATAATATGGGATGAACAGAGCTATGTGTGGGTGAAATAGTGAAGGAAAATAGTTAAAATATCCAATTACTTTAAAACTACCTAGATTTAGCCACCAAGTTAGAACCACACAACACAAGACATGCCTTTGGGCATCCCTCCTTGAGCGCATCAAAGCTTAAACAAATTCTCAAGCCTGCATCCGCTAAACCCAATTATTTGGCACACTTCAAGAAGCATTCAGTGCAACCAGTGCATTATTTCAGACATAAACCGACGGCACGAATAAACGAAGATAATTTCCAAAAGTGTCTTCAAAATACTCGTACCGAAAATGGCGAAAGACCGGATCGCCAGTCGCCATAGCCATAGCCATACATACTATTTCCCAGGCCATTCCCATCCGATCTGAGTGTCAAACAATTTACTTTTAATTATCCTCAGACGTGCGCGATTGCGACAGGCCATCAAGGAAATGACAGACATCAAACCAAATAAACTCAAAATCTTCTTAACCCAAATTTATGTATATGTCCAGGCCGCGCTCCGTAGTTGGACAGGCGGCATTTTTGCGTATTTTGCGCCTGGCCAACTGGCGTTTAATGCAGACATGCAGGCAGGCAAGCAGTCGCGTCAACAGGTTTCCTTCTGGCCGAAAAGAGAAACCCGAAAACCGTCTAGGCCGAGTCCGAGCCACTGCTGGCCATATTTGGCAGCTGCGACTGGGATTTGTGTTGATTTGAATGGATCTGATCCGATCCGATCTGATCTGATCTGCCTTGCCGTGGCGTGGCTCTTTTGGCCCGGCGCTTGCTCGCTGTTTTCCGCTATCAAACTCAATCGGCAGCAGCACAATTGGCAATTCATTGGGTGACAGATTACGCCCTGGCTTCTGGCCATGTTTGGCTGTCGGCCTGGCCCGAAACTGTTTAGAAAGTACGCGGCGATCGATCAGCTTTTGGCACTGAACCTGCCGGCGCGAACAACTGAAATTTGCATTGGAAAACCACAAAAGCGGTGGCCATAAAACTTTCTCCTCGCTCACATGGCCACACATTCCAGTGGCTCTGCCTGACTGCCTGAGTGATCTGGAGGTGTTAATGGCTCCTGGTCATCCGTCCGGCACAGCGAGTACGCGGGTCACATTCACCCGGGGTCTTGCTTCATTAACAGAAGGCTAAACTCGGCTTGTGAGATGATGAGATGTCTTTGATTTGCATACGCTCACAAGACGCGAAGACAAATCGCCGCCATTCGGCGTTTCTTCTCACGTTGATTAGTCCACAAAAATGTTGGAAGGCCTAATGGCCCCGTGTGGCCGTTATTCATGCTCTGGATATTGTGCAACTCGTACGACTGCGAGTGAAACAGTTTAATATTTCACACACCCCACACGGAGTCGCAGTGGCGCTCGACTCTGAGCCAAACAAATGACTTTAATTGACGCGGCACTCGGGCCAGTAGGAAAGGCGAATTAAAGCCAAGACATGACCATATGCTGGAATTTCTTGGATTTCGGTCTCTGCTTGGCTGCATAATCGCGCGGCGTGCCACGAATCGAGTGAAAGTGCCGCAGAAAGCGGCGCAGAGAGAAGATGCCACTGTGGGCAGCGGTCAAGCGAGCAGTCACTCCGGCCTCCGACTCCCTGGGAGGGGCACGCATGCACAGCTGCAGTAATTGCACCTGAGAGTCGCTCGACCAGAATGGATTTCCTACTTTTTAGTAGCCTAATGGCGAGTGAGCAGCCAGATGGAATCGAGAATGATCTGCGAGACATGGAGCCTGAGATCTCTCAAAGAAAATATGTATGTAATACCGATAGTTAGAAAGCAACATTGGGTAACTAACTATGGTATCTCTATTTTAAAGGTTACTTTATTACATATTATATATTTTGTAGTTATTGAAAGTAAACTATCCAAACTTTAAACCTGATTATCTTATAATGACAAGTTATGCTTTAAGACAACCAACTCCTCATCAACACCTTGTACTGATTGCACCTCTTTCTCTCCCCTCTTTTCAGCACCCAATCCAGCCAATCCTCCTGCAAATACAAGCCCACGCCCGCACCCCGCACCACCAGCAAAATGCAACAGCAGCAGCAGCAGCCGCCCAGCAGCAGCTACTACACACAAACGGAAAGCGAGCTGCTCCAAATCGAGGCGGGCGGCGCGGGCCTAACCTACGCCTCCCATCGCCCGGAAGCCCAGCCTCAGTCGGCAGGCACCCATGTGACTTCCACACAAGCACTGGACGTGCCCTCGGCCTCCTCAAGCGGCAGTAGTGGCGGCAGCGGCACCCTGGGGACCACCAGCCACTTTGTCTCTCCTCTGCAGCGCCGCCACTGCCAGCCGCCCAGCCATCTGCCGTTGAACTCGGTGGCCTCTCCGCTCCGCACAGCCAGCTACAAGACGGCGCCGGCGGTAGGAGCGGGACATGGCTTCCACCCCAGCCACCATCACCAGCAACTGGACTTCCAGCGCAACTCGCAGTCGGACGACGACAGCGGATGCGCCCTCGAGGAGTATACGTGGGTGCCGCCGGGACTAAGGCCTGACCAGGTGAGGCGTGAAACTTGTATGATTACTGCACCTTATTGGGTTATATATGTGGGTTACTATAGTAACTGAACATCATGATGATTTATCATTCATTACTTGAGGGACTTGTCTGTCTGATTCGTTGCTAATTAGCCTTTAAATGCTTTACCCATTTGAAAATGCATTTATTTTCAAGATTTTTACCCAACCTAAGGGCATTCAATGAAACAACGAAAGCCCAACTTTATCGTCGTCATCATCCCCGACATGTGTTCCGATTTGTCCCAACTAATTAAGTGAAATCTCGGGCTCTGCAATGCTGTGGAATGAGATGTGCCGGGGGCCTTGGCCACCCGCTGGTCGCTTTTGCTTTCGATCGATTTTCCACGCTCTCCCAAATCCAGTTCAATGCCTTGCCGCTGGCCACTGGCACGGTTAAGGAAATCGATCGGGAAACCACTTTAATTACACCCTGAAAATTATCGCTCCCGAATCGCTGGTGGAAAGCGAAAGCGTTTTGTAATTAAATTGCCGATACATTTGGCAGCAATTAGAGCTTGAAATGCCTGTCAATTTTTTTATGTTTTTGTGCGGGGCGGAGTCTTGCATAACTGCTCCTGGGAAAAGCCAGAGATTTTCTGTTTTCCGTGGACTCAACTTCCCCTGGGTATTGCGACACTTTTCCTCCTCACGACATAGTGGGCGTGAAGCTGCTCAATAAATTCGTTATGATTTGTCTTATTTGATTTTAAAAGCACACTTTCCTTTGTGCCAAAGTTTGCGCGGAAGCTAATTCTACTTTCCCATTTCCATTTTTTCACGCCGCAGGTTCGCTTGTACTTCAGCCAACTGCCCGACGACAAAGTGCCCTACGTCAACAGTCCCGGCGAAAAGTATCGCGTCAAGCAATTGCTGCACCAGCTGCCGCCGCAAGATAACGAGGTGAGTATTGGCAAAAGGAAAAAGAACTCGGTAGAAGTTGGAACAAAAGGGAGTCCGGTTAAAACCACGGAAGTTGGCAAAGAAAAAATCACAATTGGCCGGAAGGAAACAGGAGAAGAGAAAAACGTTGAAGTAACACTGCATTTAAATTTGATATAAAATAAAAAAGATTACGGAAATCACTTTAACTATGATTGAATGAAGTTTTATTTTGTTAAAATAAAAACTTTATAATAAGAAGATACCTCTTTCTTTCTGTTACTTATCGTATTATTAAATGTAAAGCGCTCTGGTTCTAAAGTAACTTAAAATTTAAAGTTTATTGAATCTCCTTAGATCCTTCATAGTTTTCTTGTTAAATTATAATTAATGAAAATTGTAAAAAATATAATGTAAGGAAATATTTTTCCCTTTGAGCATTTTTAACCAGAAAAAGTCTTTCCCAAGATCTCGTTGTGACAAAAATGTATAATTAGCCCGGCGCGGGCACATTGAAAACAGAACGCAGAGAAAATCTCACAAAAGGCCCGGCGAGATTAAAAAACTTGCCACTGCCTTTTGAGTGGCCTTAATTAAAATTCAGGAATACAGGAGCTAACTTTCCACCTTTCCACCTTGTCTACGTGTCCTTCGCAGGTGCGCTACTGCCACTCGCTGAGCGACGAGGAGCGCAAGGAGCTGCGCATCTTCTCGGCCCAACGGAAGCGGGAGGCCCTCGGCCGCGGAGCCGTCCGCCTGCTGTCCGACGAGCGACCCTGCAAGGGGGTAAGTTTGAGAACAACTTTTTCACCATTTTCCCCCTTTCCCGCACTCTTAATTGTTGCGAAAATTTGCATTTTATTATGCGCAGAAGATGAAGAGTCGTTTCGATTTCATTTCTGCCTGCCTGGCTGGCTGGCTGTCCGGGCAAAGTTTTTGCGCCAGAGATTCCTTCTTGCAAAAAAAAATTGATGACAATGGCCCGGGAAAACAATGGTCTCAGCGGGTTGGAGGGGGAAACTTTCAAACGTCTCGAAGTAAAAGATGACAAAAAGATTTCATTAAGTACACTTTCAGCAGAGACGTTGTTGCAGAAACAATTGCAGGGACTTGGCTCTGACAACATAAAGGCCAAGAGAGTCGCACTCGCGCTTTTCCTCGCGCGAAAAGTGAATGGAGTTGCCGGCCAGCGACGAAAGCGATGGAAGCACAATGCCAGTGGCATGTGGCATGGGGCATGGGCCATGTCGAGGTGGCAGCCACTGCATCCTTTCACAGTCCGGGCACAGTGAAATTTGCATTGTTAAGGCAGGACTCTCCCTTTCGGCCCGATGCGCACTTGGTCATTTCGCACTTTGCCGGCAGATAGTTGGCAGCTCGATTTTATTGTGCTCACATTCGCCACTCGTAAAACTTATTAAAAACTTTATGCCGCATGCTGCGTGTCTGGGCTTGGGTGCCGACTCCAACCAACCGACCAAGTCTGGTGTGCTACGTGCGCGGGCGGAAGGGGATCGGATCCAGCGGTTTGGGACTCCTCCGTAACAGTGTCCGTGTGCTTGCGTCTGGTTTTATTTGGCCTCGGGTTTATTACGGCCAGCCAACTTGCGGAAGGAGTGCTTTTGAGGTTGGAGTTCATTAGAGTCTCGAATAATCAGTGCGAACTTTGCCAAGAAAACTTGATGCTCATGTGTATATTTATGGTATTTGTGATTCTTGGCATATAGTACGGTTTCTTTCAGGAATTTGGTGTCTTGTAATTTTAAAACTTTATTGAAACTGCTTAATCTAAAAACTTATATTTATAATTGTTTCCATTTCTAAAGTCAATGTCTTTATAGATAAATAAGATGGCCTTACAAATTAAGCTCTTAAATTTGTTTAAGTTAAAGGGCACTAATTTTGTTACTAGCAGTCTTATCCATTTTTAAAACGTTTTTAAAGCATTAAAATTATTTTAATATATCCAATACTTATAGGAAATGTTGTAGATTTAATCTGATTAATGATAATCCATTACTGTTTTGAGAACTTTTATTTTTGGTCTGTAAATCTTTATCAAATTATTCTTTAGTTCCCAATCAGTTTAGGATTCTTTGAATGAAAAAACGTAGTAAATTATTAAAAATTGCGTATCCTTTGCGGAAATTCCCTTTTTCCAAACTTTCCACTTCGATACCATGCAAAATCTGATAAACTTTAAAGGATTTGGATTTGGAAATCCAAGTCCAAGCCATCCTTTGAAAGTGCTTAAAATTCACAGACCATAACTGACTTGCTAAACGGACGTTAAAATGCGAACAAAGGCTGAGGCCTCAACCCCCGACCGTCCAATCGAATGGCGTGGAAAGCTTGGAGGAATTATGGGGGAAATTTATGAAAACGCTCAATGATCCTGAAGCCCGAGTCCTGAATCCCGAATCCCGAAGGGGAGGAAGCTCCGGCAGTCAGTCAGGCGTAAATGAGTCGCAACGTGGGCCGCAACGTGTGCCACAGCCAACTGGCAATGATTTTGCCAAAAAATAATGGATTCGAGGAGCGCGAAGGGTGGGGCAAACTCCTTGACAGATTTTCCACACGAACAGCGCAGAGCGGAAGCTGAAGTTTTGACAAGGATGTGACACTAAAGGTCGTCCTGGCAACAATGAAATAATTACAAGAAAAGCCATCTCAGACTCGGCACTCAACTGCATGAAATATATATATTTTTTTCGACACGGAAAGAAATAGCCTCGTATAGATATGGAAAATATAGAGGCTATAAATCGGATTATATATATTTTGAGCAAATATTTTATAGCCGATAACATTTCTTTTGAATATACTTTTGTTCCCAGTTTTATATATTAATACTACTTAAAAATTACCTATTAGATTTCCGCTCAGTGCAGCCAAGGTAGCCAAGCCAAACAAAGGGAAAAACCAGTCAAAGGAAGGTAAAGCGCAGTGGCTGTTAAGCGAAAAGTTTATGTACTGAAAAGGGCATGATAACGAGCGTCATTAATAATTTGAGTTGCTGTTTAGGGGTAGCCGGGGCAGGAAACCGTCTTGCCCCGTCTGTCTGCCTTCGAAGTTTGTCGCTCCTGGTCGCATTAATCCGGACACGAAATGGGTTAGCAAGGACACTTCCTGCCCCGGGTCGGCCAGGTCGAGCTCGGTTCAGTTAGGTGCTGCGATGGCACCGCCAGCGACAATTTGTCAATAGCATAATTGTCTGGCGCAGAGCCAGCAGCCAGCGGGGATTAATTGGATTGATAAGATAAATGAGCAGCGATTGCTGTTATTTACATGACATTTACCCGGTCCGACAGTCGATGAAAAATGTCGTTTTAAGTGCACAGATTTTCGAGACAAACTAATCAATGGCCAGGCTTGGGGTACGAGGCTAGCCAGAAAACTTTAACACTCTCTGTTCGCCGCAGAAACTACTTAAAGCGCTTCCTGGGCCAAAGTTCTTGAAGGAGTTTCTGTGGTTAGCCTGGCCAAAGTGCAGGGCCAGCATCAGGGCAGCTTCAATGCGTCATTAGCCAGGGATATCGGTGGGGCGGGGAGGCTGCCTAATTAAAGTGTGCAGGGGCTTTACGTTTACGTATTCCTCGGCCCGTGGCGATAAATTTTTGAAGTTGCCAAACAATTAACGACGCATGGAGGCAGCTACTTGGGCGCCGGGAAATTATCAACCCCGTGCAGTCAGCCCTCGGAGCCGTCGCCTGTCAATGCTTAATGGCTTGCAAAAGTAAATGCTGATTGCGGGAGTCGCTGGAGGATATCGGTCCAGGGCGAGGACACATACCGCGGAGCGACAATAGCGGGAGCATCGCCCGCGCCAAGGTTTAATAGCCCGGAAAGTTAAGGAGCTCCTGGCTCCAAAATGGGGCCCAGAACCTCTTGCGGTGTCTCTGCGGTGGCATTGGGAAATTTGCCTGCGCCAAGCCAGAAGCGAGCACGGAGACGCAGTCGAGCAATCTCCCCAACTGCCTGAAATAAGGGTGCAAATTGGCAGGGACTCTGAACTAAGATGTGATTCTGGTCCACAGGCCTTGCTAGTAACTCGCTTTTAACTTTGATTGCATGTCTATCAAGGTAATTACTTTATAGCAAAGAAGGTAATTTTACTTTTCTTCTAAATTCTGCTCATGATATCTGTTATTCTTAATATCTGAAAGCTTGCCATTGCCATATACTTTTATTAGGTACCAAATTCCGTATAAATTTGATTTTATTTTACGATGTAAGATGCTAATCTTGGAACCATTTCAAGGATTTTAAAACCCCTAGGTACAAACGATAATTTCTCAAAAATATTCGAAATATAAATACCTTTAGATTTCATAAGCAAAACAACAATTAATTAAAGTAGTTCCTTAGGAAAACTCGGACTTTAACTAACTTCCACTGACCTTTACCTCTACCCTTGTCCTGCCTGATAGTCTGGCCTAAGGGAACTCAATTAGAACCTTCATTTCGGGACGATTAGAAGTCACCAAGCCTTTCCCTGCAGCGGAAAACCCTTTTGGTCCGAAATGAGTTCATTATGCGAACGCGTTTGGATTTAACGAGTCTCGAGCTGCGTGGCTTGCCAGTTTTGCAGTCATTAAAAGCGTCGCTTCCTGCTCGTCGCATTTTCTCCGTGCCTGCCATCTCTCTTGGAGGTTTTCCAGCAGCCTGGAGTTGTCCTTAAAGTGCTCTGCTATCCACCAGGGAGTACTTTTGGGTTTTGGGGATGAGCTGAGCCTGGCCGTCGGCTATTTTTGCATGATTTCCGCTTTGGAAAATCGCCGTGGAGGCGAGAAAGAAAAACCGCAGAGCACGACAGAGTGTCCTTGGCCGAGGAGACAGGTCCTTTGCTTGCTGGCGGCATTTCCGGAGGGGCACTGGGGTGGTGGGGCGTTAAGCTTAAGCGTTTTATTACCGTTATTTAGCATTTAAAGTCGCTTAAATAATTCTGGCCGGCCAGCAGCCAGACGCTGCAGATTTTTATCGCTCGAAGAACTCTAGCATATTTGCCTTATTTATACGACTTTCTTGCTCTCTTTTCCAGTGCGAGGAGCCTTTGTCGGGTGGTGACATTGTGGTCTTTGCCCAACGCTTGGGCGCCCAGTTGTGCTGGCATCCCGGCTGCTTCGTGTGCAGCGTATGCAAGGAGCTGCTGGTGGATCTGATCTACTTTCAAAGAGATGGAAATCTATACTGCGGGCGACACCACGCTGAGACTCAGAAGCCGCGGTGCTCCGCTTGCGACGAGGTTAGTGGTTATTACAAAATTGAAATTCTAGCCCTAGAACCTCTATTAGCTAATCCCATCCTTGTCCTTCTTCAACTGGGCCTAACTCTAATTTAACCCGAGATAACACCTCTCCTCCTTTCGCTCTTCCCCTTCCAGATCATCTTCTCGGACGAGTGTACGGAGGCAGAAGGCCGCACGTGGCACATGAAGCACTTCGCCTGCCAGGAGTGCGAGCAGCAGCTGGGCGGCCAGAGGTACATAATGCGAGAGGGCAAGCCCTACTGCTTGGCCTGCTTCGACACCATGTTCGCCGAGTACTGTGACTACTGCGGCGAGGTGATCGGCGTGGACCAGGGCCAGATGAGCCACGACGGACAGCACTGGCACGCGACGGACCAGTGCTTCAGCTGCTGCACCTGCCGCTGCTCCCTGCTGGGACGCCCGTTCCTGCCCCGAAGGGGCACCATCTACTGCTCCATCGCCTGCAGCAAAGGCGAACCGCCGACGCCGTCGGACACGAGCTCGGGCCCTCAGCTGCGGCCCACGCATCGCGCCTCTACATCCAGCCAGATAGCCAGGTCACCGCGAAGGTCAGGGGGAGGTGAGCGGGACACAGGGCGAAGGGCGCCTCACCATGGCCACCCAAAGGCCACAGGCAGTGCCGGGGATCTGCTGGAGCGGCAGGAAAGGCAACGCATGGAGGCCGCCGGAGTGGCGGACCTGCTGCTGGGAGGAGGGGTGCCCGGCATGCCACGACCCGCCCATCCGCCGCCCATCGACCTCACCGAACTGGGCATCAGCTTGGACAACATTTGTGCGGGCGACAAATCCATCTTCGGCGACACCCAGACGCTAACCAACTCTATGCCAGATATGCTGCTCTCAAAGGCCGAGGACTCGCACAGCTACCAGAGTATCGACAAGATCAACCTAAACTCGCCGAGCAACTCGGACCTCACACAGAGTACCCAAGAGCTGGCCCACGAGCTGGAGATGGACAACGAGCCGGTGGGGGAGCTGCCCCACGACGGCTACGAGCAGCTGTTTGCCGGCAACCGGAACCAGGTGCAGTTGCCCCTGGGCCAGGACCAGGAGCTGGAGGAGGAGCTGCTGGACAACCGGCCGCTGAAGGAGGTGCGTTTCCACAGTGTGCAGGACACGATGTCGCGTTCCAAGAGCTACACGGACAACTCCAACGCCCGCCGGCGGAGGCGACGTCGCAACCAGTCGCGCAGCTCCTCGGAGATGCAGATCAACCAGACCAACCTCCGGCTGCACAACGCCCAGACGCAGGCCGGGCCGGGAGCTCTCAACCTGCTAAACAACCTGGACAACTGCGACGTGGCTAGCATCTGCTCCACCTGCTCCTCCAGCTCATCGAGCGACATGGACGACTACGTGTACCGCCTGCCCGCCCGCAAGCACTACGGCGGCGTGCGCGTGGCCTACGTGCCCAACGATGCCTTGGCGTACGAGCGCAAGAAGAAGCTAACCCAGGACTCGTGCCTCGCCGGAGGAGTCGGTGTGGGCGTAGGCGGGGGAGTAGTGGGTGGCGGATCGCCGGCGATCATGCACGAGAGCAAGAACTGCACTATTTCTTGACCGCCCCCAATGCTGCCGCCGCCGCCCCTTAACCTGAGCAGCTACTACATCCTGGACACGATCCTGGAGGAGCAGAGTCTGATGCTGCCCGACAAGAAGCCGGGCTGCCTGAGGCGGGTCTGGAACTTCTTTGGCCTGGGAAAGGCCCGCCACTCCGCTGGCTCCCAGCACACCAGCAACGGACGCCTCTACAGCGTCTGAAGATTTTAAAAACTAGAGTCTTAAGCGCGGTTGCCAAGGACACTGGCCTTTATTTTAAAGGGGCACCAAGTGGCGACCGTGACTGTAAATAACATATCGAGATGTATTATACACAGAGTGCGAGACACATATGAGATCAGAGATGAGAGAAATCGTTGTACAAAGCTGAAACTATATCATATTTGCATTTAACTATACGCATGCCCGTGGGGGCATTACCATAACTAATTAAGTATTCTAGTGTTGGATTAAGCAGAACAAAACAACCGACCAGCAGAGACCACAAGCAACGCAATCAACGAACAATAAATTCCAACGAATCCAACCGACGGCCAACAAAAGAATCTCCGAGAGAGTGAAAGTATTATCTGTTTCCAAATGTGCAATAATTTAAAATGGCAAAGAGGCAGAACGCCTCGAGAAACAGCTCTTCCAGCGACCAAAACAACGATTAACGATTACCATTTACAACATTCGCGGTTTCTTTTCTCTGGCAAATCAAATTACAGATTCTTTTGTTCGCAGGCCAAGCGTTTTATGTAATTTGCAAGCTTTCTCCAGAGCGTGAAAGGGAAATTGTTATATAAAGGCTTAACTATGTGTCCAGGGTTCTCGGAGGGTAGAAAGTTGGGCAGCCGACCGAATCGAAAACATATGATAAGAATTATTTGATACCTTTGGTTTACTTGTCTAAGCAATGCTATATCAACAAGTGTGTATGGAAACATAATCAAAAGTAAAATATATGTACTTGTATTTTATTCTAAAACAATTTCAATGTTTTTTTTTAATTAATCCCGGGAACAGGCTTCTTCTCGGGATATCAGGTTCAAGTTGAAGCCTTAATGAGCAGAGGGAGCACATTCATTTTCTAAAAAAGATGTAAAGAATGTTAGCTACGAAGGTCGGTCAATGTAACTTAATAAGGTAAGTAAATATGCTTCGAATCATACAGAGAAAGTAAGGTGGCAATAATATAGTTAATGGTACTCAACAGTATTTAAAGTAATTATAATACCTAAGCTATTTTAAAGAGGGATATCGCTAGACCCTTTCAGTTTAGTTTGTTTTGGCTGTTAAAGATACGAGCACTTATCTCTTTGGTCAATTGCTGTTCCTTAACAGATTACTAATTTGTTAAAAGATAAAGTTAAATGGATTGACAACTGCATTCATCAATGAATTTTTCAATTATTAAAGCTATAACTGCATTTTTAGGTAGAATTGCATCACAGCAAATAGTATAAAAAAGAATGAAATATATTACAAGAAGAAAAGCTACAGTTTAGTGTACTCGACTGTGAAATACCCAGAGGTTTGTTCAACAAATTAAAGTACAAATCCGTTTTGCTGAGTCACGCCTTTTTTTAACAAACTTAAGAATTATTATCCCTAAATAAAATGTATAAGCTTAGGCAGGCCACAAATCTCGATAGGTACACCGTGTTGTCTAAATCGTATTCGTTTGGCTGATGTTTACCCCTTTTACAATATATGTCCGAGTTAATTAATAATCGAACTAAGATTTTTCTCCCGTTCAGATTTAGGGGTTGCCTTAACTTTTTTTTATACAAATTACATTTGCATATACATTTTATAAGCAATAGTGTAATAAACAAAAGGTAAAGGTAAACTAAAATACGGCCTTGCCAGTGGCCACTTTATTTTAATAGCAGGGAGCTCCGCAAGTTCTTACAGATGCGATTAATTAATTATTTTTTCCAACCTTTCGCTCTTATGTCATCCCATCAGAACTCTAGTCTAACTTTTAACTCACACTAAATATGATGTAAACCTGGCACGAAAACCACATCAAGCATTTGTTGTTGTTTAACTTTACTGCTTGAATATTTTAGCATTTGGACCGCAGGCGATTTTGAGCTAACAACAAAAACAGTAATAGGAAACGGTTAAAAGAGCAAATAAGCCAGCAGCCATTTGACAGAAAAAATAATTAAATGCTAACAGAATTTGAAATCGAACTCCATTCATTTCTTTTCATTTAATGAGTCGTCTTTTGTTTTGATTTTGCCGATGCCTGAGCGAAGATATCTAAACGTTTTAAGTGTTTAAAAATCAAGAAATAATAGATAATTTTTAAAGTTAACAATTTTTGCACATATTAAAAGTTGTATACTTTCGAAAAACAAAAAAAAACAAAAAAATGACGAAATCGGATTTAAAAAATTTTTATTGACCAAAACTCAAATTTTGCAGTATAACATTTTTTAAGTTTTTAACCGTTTAACTGTTTACCTAGTATTTAAAAGTTAATGATGTTCTATCAGACTAATCCTAAAATGTTTCCTGAGTTTTTTCTTAAAATAAGATTTTCATAAGTTCAAGTATTTATTATTTCCACATACATTAATTGGTAGTTTTTAATTCCCTTAAGTGGCCTTCTACAATGGAGATATTATACATGTAATTTTATGGAATAGTGTATATGATCGCTTCATGCTGTAAAATGATAAATATTCACATAAGCTCATTATCTGGGAACCAAGTCGCTAAAGTCTTTCTGGAAGGAGTCTCTCTGCAAGGCCGATCCAGCCATGTTGCCCACTAATGGGTAGGGTTTCTCAAAGCAAAGGCCTCGCTTCTCAAAGGTTTTGAAGGTGGCCGTGCTCCACTTGTAAATCAGTAGACCGATGGTCAAGAGGGCCAGACATATTTTCAATGTGGTCATGGTAAGACACTAACGTTTAACCCCTTAGTTCGTATATTGCTAATTTGGACAACTACTCGCCACCGCATTTTATACCCGCCGAGCTAAGTACCATATATAAAGTAACAAGAACAAGAGAGATATCGCTCAACAGGCTAGGCCAATTCGGATTGATTGGTTTACTTACATAGAAGAATTATCTGCTGTTTTTCGATTCATTTTCCAATCGTTCCTATTTATAATCGCCGTTGTTACTTTTAAATAAAAATTAAATCCGCAATTTTTAATTTGTATAAGACTACTATATCTATACGAAGCTGCAAATTTCAAGAGTAGAATCTTGGGAATGGTTAATAAAAATTATTAATAATTTTTTTTGCTTCTTTAAAAGTTGCACGAGCTCCCTATTTTTCAAGTGTATATGCCATTGGCAGGTCGTTATCGCTATCTAGCTTTATACGTTAAGCTTATCAGACTTGTTCTTTCAGTAATTAACTGCAGGTATCATCACCCTTATGGGTTTCGGCAAATGTTAGTATAAAAAGGAGTTTTGAATATCCTAAAATGTAAATGGAAATATTTCGCATTTTTGTTATTATTTTGTTTGAATTTATACCAATGTATTTCCGTATATATGTGATCTTTATCTTGGCATTGCATTTGTTGAAGAAATATTTTCGTTAGTTTTCAATAAAAAATATAAATAAAGTCACAATGACTGCCTTATTTTTACATACACGGTATACGTACGGTAAGAAGGTATTAAAAGTCAGTGCCCACCGAAAATTAACTTTCTAAGTATGATAATAAGATTTAATAAGATTAAAAAAAAACACAGGACGTACCTTACGGCAAATAAGAAAATTAATACGGTAGTTGTAAGACAATACAATTTTTCTGTTTTTATTAAATATAAATAAAATTTAATACTTTACTTTGTTGTTAGGGATAAATTCAAAGAAAACAAGGAGAAATCTACTAAGAGTGTGATCAACTGTGAGATTTCTGTACTGATTTTCTCTTTCTGTTAATAAAAATATTAGTGGGGATTATAAAAGAAATACCGATTATTTCTTAGGCAGGTATATCTTATGGACTAGATTGCAAAAACGTCGAAGAATAATGCAATATATTTTAAAGGTACATCCTATTTCTAAGAGAAAATCGTTACTAGCATAGGGAAGGGCTAGATTATAAAACAGCCCTGTTAATGGCCTCTAAATTTGAATAACAAGTTCCTACAGATGCGACCTCTGATTAATTATATATTTTTCCAAAAATTTTGCGCTCTCCAATCATATATTGCTTATGTCATAACACCAGAACTCTAGACTGGCAGTTTACTCACACTGAATATGATGTAAACCTAGCCCGAAAACTGGTATAGACTTCAAACGTTTGTTTGTTTAATTTCACTGTTTTAATAATTAAGCATTCTGACCGCAAGCGATTTAAAACTAACAAAAAAACTGTAACAATCAAATGGATTAGCGATTTCACAGAAATAATAATTAAATGCCAATAGAATTTGAATTTAAACCCTATTCATTTTGTAAGCCGTCTGTTGCAGGACAGTGACAATCAATGAGTATCCATAGGATTTTGTATTTGATTGTTTGTTTTCATGGAATTTTTAATTAATCCTTTCATATAAATATATTATTTATATATATATAACATAACTAAATCATATTTCAGCCAAAAACTCATTACAGTTGAAACTGAACCACTATCCCATCGATAAATCATTGTCAGAAACAAAACCCCAATAATAAAAAAATAAAAAATAAAAAATAAAAAGAAATAAATAATATTTTTAACATTTAAATTTTCTAAAAACATTTCAACAGTCGATCGGCCTTCTTAATGATATTTGGACTTTGTTTGATTTTTGTTTTTTTTTTTTTTAATAATTTGATGTTAAATGAAACTTGAGTGTAAGACTAGAAATTATATTTCCAAATATAGCATACTTTTAGCCAGCAACTAACTAAATATAACAACAAGCTAACTAAACTAAAACTCAAAAAAGCATTTGTTTTGCGTCGCTAAAAATTATTTATTATTAATATCATCTTATTTTCTGGGAACCAACTGCATCCAAAATCCCGACCGGGGGGTAAAGTTAAAGCCACGTGCCGATCCCCAAAGATCTTTTTCAGTTCTCGGTGAAGCTTCGATCTTGTAGTTCAGCAGAAGGTTGTACAACACGCCCTTGACCTGCATCAAGGCATAGCGATTTCCTGCAGAAGAAGAAAATGTGGAAATAGTAATAGTTTAAAATCAAGTTAATTAACTTATAAAATGTTTCCTTGAACCTTTACTTTCCTAAAGTACTTAGGTGTTAATAGAGCCCAGTTAAATGAATCACTCACCTATGCAGTTACGAGGACCCACGCCGAAAGGCAGATAAGTGTACGGCACCAGCTCACCCTTCCGCTCCTCGCTGAAGCGCTCTGGATCGAACTTCCTCGGCTCGGGGAAGTAGCGGTCGTCCAGATGAATTCCAGAGATCGGTATGTTAACACGGTCGCCCACCTTGAAGTCGAAGAGCTTGGTGCCATCTTCGTCTGTGAGAGTATAGTCCTTGGAGCAACAGCGGTCGGTGGCAGCGGCTAAGGTCCACTTGCGCAGGGACTCAGCGATGACCATGTCCATATAGGGCATCTTCTGAACGGCATCGTAATTAAGTGAGCCGCCCTTCAGAGCCTCCCGGGTCTCCTTAACCTCCTCGTACAGCCGCTGCTGAATTTCTGGATTGTGCAGCAACTCGTAGGTAGTTGTGCATACCAGGTTGGAATTGTTTTCAAAGGCGGCAAAGAAGAAAATGAAGCACTGAGCCACTATCTCGTCGTCCGTCCAGTTTTCTTGGGTCTCCTTCTTGGACTCCATCAGCAGCTGGATCATGTCGGGTCGGTGGATGTTGTGCTTTTCGCGGTATTTTATGGCATCCACCACCAGGCGCACGAAGTAATCTACTTTGCTGGCCTCAAAGATGGTCAATTTGAAAAACTAGACAGGGTTAAGAAAAGCAATTATTAATGTGATTTAATTGGGGTCAAATATGATACCTACATTAAAGAGCTTAGGAGCAGCGATGGAAAGCATAAACTTGAAGAACTGCGGTCCTCTAGAGAATACCAGACTCTGGCCGATACTGTAAAACTCATTTTTCGGATTATCGAACGAGTTCACCTTCAGTCCAAACGCAGTGGTGGCGATGACATCATTGGAGAGCTTGTTGCACAGCACCTTCATGTCCACCTCGAAACTTTTTCCCGAAGCTGCTCCCGATTCGGTGTCCAGGTGCTGAAGGCACTCGGCGAAACTGTCGTTCATCAGGGTGAACATGCTGCGCATCTTGGCCGCCGTGAATACCGGAGTCAAAGTATTCCTCATGTGCTTCCAACGCTGATCCTTCATCACATTCAGCATGTCATTGACCAGACGCTCGTTGGGGCTTATGAAGAGCTGGTGGTTAGGGAAGTGGTCGAAGTCCTTAACGCAAATCTTCTTGATCACCTCGGGATCGTTCAGCTGGATCATGGGGGTGCGCAGATTGAAGAGGCCCACAACCTTGCTGAAATGTCATTTGGCTCCTTGAAGGCAAAGTGGTGATGGAACAAACAAACAACTTACTGATGGCGAGTGCGATCGTAGAACTCGCTGAGCTGCTTCTGGAAGGAGGCTTTCTGCAAGGCCGAACCAGCCATGTTGCCCACGAATGGGTAGGGTTTCTCGAAGTACAGGCCCCGCTCCTCGAAGGTTTTGAAGGTGGCCGTGCTCCACTTGTAGATCAGGAAACCAATGCCCAAGAGGGCCAGACATATTTCAAGTACTGCCATGGCTAGGACACTAACGTTTTACCGCTTTGTCACTATATTGCGAATTAATTTGGTTAACTACTCGCCACCGCAATTTATACCCGCTGAGCTACAGTATATACATGTGTGTATAGAGTAACAATTAGTATATGTGGTTATCTCAAAGAGAGATATCGATTCTCAACAGGTTAGACTCATTTGGATTTGTTTGTTTTTGTGTGTGGCTGTTGGGAACACACACAAAACACGTATCTGCCGCTGGGCAATTGTTGATACGTTATGGATTATTAATTTGTTTATAAATTTTGAAATGTTTTAGAGAACGCTCTCACGTAGTGAACGCTTCGATAAGCAACCTCCTCTCTCCCCGTGTGTATTGTTATCATTCGGTTTGATAGAGTCACTTTAAAATGCAAAAAACTTTGTAATCGTACAAAATGATAAGGTATTATAATCTATCAAATCCATTAAATAGCTTTCTATTTATATTGTAAAAGCGAGTACGTTGTCATGTGTGTCGATAACATATTTAGGCTGATGAAAGTAGTGTTTATGCCAATGCAATTCCAAGATAAAATTAAAACTGTAAGTAATACCGAAGCTTGTATACCCTTGAAGTCATGTCATTACTATTGTTACTTTGAAAATTCAAAATAAAGAAAGCTTAACCTAAATTACTATGTCAGTATATAGAAGTTAATCAATTAGCTATCACATGAATTATCAAAATCTATTGAAATTATTTGCTTCAAATAAATCGATCGATTTGAGCAGAACCGCTGATGAAATAAGTCAAAAATTTGCAATGTTACTGAAAACGTGATAGGCATAAGATTGCGATTCGGCCTTGACAGTGGCGGGTACATATTGAGAATAGGGAGCTCCTTTATGGTAGGTCTTTCCGATTGAACAGAACAAAAATTCGTTTTCTTTATTCTAATTAATACTATATACATATATTTCCTTAAGGATCTATGTACACCATCTGCTTTCTGCTTTAATAATGATGGTTTAAGAAAATTTTAAGGGCGTCTGGTGGTAATGGAAAAATAAAGATGGCCTTAAAAAATTGTAAAAGAAAACCTCGCCAACAAAGTCTTTGACTAAAAGGTGTGATCAGGGGAAAATATGAGAAGATACTTTTGCAAAATTACATCAATTAGTGAAAAAGGAGTTAGCAGGAGTTCCCAGAAGCTCTTTACGCATAAAAAACAAGTAATCTAGAGTCGATTAACAGTGAGATACACTTGGTATGAAAAGCTCTGTGCCTTAAATAAAACGACTACAAAATAATATGAATTGAGTGCAATCATTATCTTATCTTATACATATATCTTATATATATGTGAAAATTTATCAATATTTAGTATATAACCACTGTTACGGGGTACATGCTGACTTCGAGGACGCAGTTTTCAATTTTAATTTAAAATAAAAACAAACTACCATTATTTAAAAATAATAACATTTTATTTGGAATTTGAAAGCTCAAGTTATATGTTAGCTTTCCATATTACTCCATATTAATTTGGTTCAAACCTAATTTAACGATTACAGCTTTTCATGTCGCACTAATTCTTAGATCTGTTGCTTTACACGAACTTATAATAATTTAATCTTGTATCTTTTCCACAATAATTAAATAAAAGTTAAACCAATTTTTATTTAATCTTATAACTTTGTTATTCCTCAACAAAAGTATTAATATCTACATGGGCTTATTTTCTGGGAACCAACTGCATCCAAAATCCGGAACGGGGAGTAAAGTTAAAGCCGCGTGCCGATCCCCAAAGATCTTTTTCGGTTCTCGGTGAAGCTTCGATCTTGTATTTCAGCAGAAGATTGTAAAACATGCCCTTGACCTGCATCAAGGCATAGCGGTTTCCTGCAGAAGAACGAATAAAATATAAATAATTAGAAGGGGTATGTACAAGGTCGATTAATTTGTATATTCGACTTGTATAACTTTCATTTATCTTTAACTTTTTTTAGTTGTTCTATAAAATATCAAAAAAAGTACGTTGGAGTTTATGAAGATAAGTTGAAGAAAGCCATACATGAAATACATAAATCTCTTTAAATGGGCTTACTCACCTATGCAGTTACGAGGACCCACGCCGAAAGGTAGATATGTGTACGGCACCAGCTCACCCTTCCGTTCCTCGCTGAAGCGCTCCGGATCAAACTTCTTTGGCTCGGGGAAGTACCGGTCGTCCATGTGTAGACCAGAGATTGGTATATTAATGCGGTCCCCCACCTTGAAGTCGAAGAGCTTGGTGCCGTCATCGTCGGTGAGAGTATAGTCCTTTGAGCAACAGCGGTCAGTGACAGCGGCCAGGGTCCACTTGCGCAAGGACTCAGATATGACCATGTCCATATAGTTCATCTTTTGCACGGCGTCATAGGTCAGGGATTCTCCCTTCAGAGCTTCCCGGGTCTCCTTAACCTCCTCGTACAGCCGCTGCTGGATTTCTGGATTGTGGAGCAACTCGTAGGCGGTGGTGCAGATAAGATTGGAGTTGTTTTCGAAGGCGGCGAAGAAGAAAATGAAGCACTGGGCCACGATCTCGTCGTCCGACCAGTTATCCTGGGACTCCTTCTTGGCCTCCATCAGCAGCTGGATCATGTCGGGCCGGTTAATATTTTGTTTCTCGCGGTATTTAATGGCTTCTACCACTAAGCGCACGAAGTAATCGACTTTGCTGGACTCAAAGATGGTCAGTTTAAGCAACTAAGATAGGATAAAGTATAGGATAAAGTAGTTCTGGACATGTAAATGTGATGGCTTACACTGAAAATCTTTGGGACGAGTGAGGACAACATAAACTTAAAGAACTGGCTTCCGCGGGAGAAGACCAGGGACTGACCAATCTCGTAAAACTCATTTTTCGGATTATCGAACGAGTTCACCTTCAGCCCAAATGCAGTGGTGGCGATGACATCATTGGAGAGCTTGTTGCACAGCACCTTCATGTCCACCTCGAAACTTCTTCCCGAAGCTGCTCCCGATTCGGTGTCCAGGTGCTGAAGGCACTCGGCGAAACTGTCGTTCATCAGGGTGAACATGCTGCGCATCTTGGCCGCCGTGAATACCGGGGTCAGAGTGGTCCTCATGTGCTTCCAACGCTGATCTCTCATAACACTGAGCATGTCATTTATCAAACGCTCATTTGTTTTTATAAAGAGCTGGTGGTTAGGGAAGTGGTCAAAGTCCTTTACGCAGATCTTTTTGATCAACTCGGGATCGTTCAGTTGGATCATTGGAGTGCGCAGATTGAAGAGGCCCACAATCTTGCTGGAATATCAAGTTGTATTGAAAGCACTTGGCCATGCGGTGATAGAATCTACGTTGACTTACTGCTGGCGAGTGCGATCGTAGAACTCGCTGAGCTGCTTCTGGAAGGAGGCTTTCTGCAAGGCCGAGCCAGCCATGTTGCCCACTAATGGGTAGGGCTTCTCGAAGTACAGGCCTCGCTCCTGGAAGGTTTTGAAGGTGGCCGTGCTCCATTTGTAGATCAGGAAACCAATGGCCAAGAGGGCCAGAAATATTTCCAGTGCAGCCATGACTGAGGTGTCTCCAATTGCCTATTTTATTCCGAACTGAGATCCCCAACTACTTGCCTGCGCAATTTATACCCTCCCTTGTAGATTATGGGTACTGCTATATGTATGTATAACAAGTATATCTATATAGATTGCTTTAAAGAGAGAGATATCGTTTTTGAACAGGTTAGAGTTGTTTGTTATGACTGTTGCTGTTGTGATGTCAAACAAGGAGAAGTAACCGGGCGCTATGTTTGGGTAATTGTTGTTAGTTTAAAGAGCTTTTGTTCTCTCAGTGCCTTTTTTATATAGGTAGATATTGTGAAAATATTGAGTGGAGCTCTTATTTCAGAGAGTATTCTGATAACCAATATTTTGCTGCTCTCTAAAAGCATTGATTTCTCTAGGTAGCTAAGTTTGACCTTATCTGAAGCCGCGCAATCTAATCATTAAAGAAAAAAACAATTATTCAAAATCAAATAATTTAAAATCCAACTTGAGTAATGTCGTCAAATCTGATCTGATAATTACAATACTTCAAAGCATGTGACTCATATAAATCTAGGTCCTCTTTGGAAATAAAAAAATGCATTCAACGCATTTTACGATTTACAACAATGTTTATAATTTAAACAACTCGTACGATAATATCATATATTGTAGCTTTTTTTTTTTTTTTTTTTTTTTTGGAAAAAAAATAATGAAATTTTATTTGACTAGTGCACTGTTACCTAGATATTTGGCAACTAAACCTAATTGGAAGTTAATTCTATGTTTACAATGCTTTGTTATGGAGGAGTATTAAGTTAAGTTATGTTTACATAATTTGAAATGATTTTCATGTTTTGTCTGATATTTTATGTCAAGATCCTGTCGGGGAGGTCTTGAGGGTGGTGACGTTTAAGTCTTCTCCTGACTCGTGTTCTGTGTTCAGCGGTGGCTAATCTTCTAGCCAGACTATTAGGGTGATTGTTAAGTTTTTCCATGTACTTAGTTGAAACAGTGTGAAGTTTGTCTCCAAGCTTGGGCACCTTTAGGTCTCGTTCAATGTCTCTAGTCCTCATATACCAAGGAGCCCCAGAGATCCTCCTTAATGTTTTTGCTTGAAGAATCCGTATCTTGTTCAAATGACATCTTGCAGCAATTCCATAAACTTGAAGGCCATAAAACAGGGAGGGGGCTAGTATTGACTTATATATCATGACCTTGGAGTAAAGCGATAGTTTGTTGCGGGGTGCCAGGAGCCATGCCATCCGGGAAACTTTAGCCTTAAAAGCATGCTGAATGTTCGCAACATGCCTGCCGAACGTAAGTTTACGGTCCAAGGTAACGCCAAGGTATTTATAGGCTCTATGGTGGTCAATGACTCTACCATTAAGACTGACCCCAGGACAGCTAGCTGCACGGTTGGTGAAAGTCACATTCGCACATTTGTCCGCATTGATGCGCACATTCCAGTTCATAGCCCATTCTTGGTAGGCATCCAGATACTCCTGTAAACCAAATGAAGCAGCCAAAATACTTGTATTTTTCACTAGCACAGCAGTGTCATCAGCGTACGTAGCTATTAGTAAATCATCTTCCGCGACTTCAGTTACTGTCAAGTGACTAGGCATGTCCGAAGCAAAGACCGAATACAGAGTAGGACCTAGAACACTTCCTTGCGGAACTCCAGCTTCAATTGTCTTGACTCTTGACTTATACCCATCAGCCGATACATGGAATGTGCGATCATGCAGAAAACTTTTCACAATCATGTATAGTTGAGGCGGGAAGAGTCGCTTCGCTTTGAACAGCAGCCCAGGGTGCCAGACTCTGTCAAATGCCTGTTGAATATATTGTAGCTGAAACAGAAAATGTAATAGGAAAATAATCAAAAGTTCATTGTTGTAAAATCACATCTAGTAAGGTGTTGCACAAGGGTATGGAAACTTCGGCTTTTCAAAGTTACGTTGTTGTTTTTTTTTTTTGCTTTAGCATTTATCTCTTTAAATTTGCTGGATTTAGTTTTCATACTGAACAGCAGTAAGCCAATATATTATTGTTGCTTTAATCTCAAGTTTATCACTTGAATATTTACAGATAATAAATCAGAAATCAGTTTACTAATTATAGGAAAGATTTTCTTTAAACATGATACAAATACATTTCTATTTGGCTAATTCCTAATTTTCCTTTTATGCAGACAAAAACGCATTCATAAATAATAATGAATAGAATAGAATGAATAAGAAAGAAAAGTTGCGACTTATTAGTTAGCAGACGCCTTAGTTGGGAAGACACAAAATTAAGGATCTAAATTATTCTTTCAATTTATTGTTTTTGTCTTGTTTCTGAATGAAAATAAAATAGTGTATATATAGCTCTAAATTGTCATTTATTTCAGAGCGCTCTTTCGTATGTAGATACTAAGTTCTGCATATATGACTGCTGAAGGATAAAATATACTTAATATTTTATCCGATTAAATAGCGATTTCTCCTTAAAACTTTTTATCTGTTTATCCCTTAATTTCTCTTGCAAGCATATAAATTCATCATCAGCAGACAATACAATCTAACACAGCTAGAGCAAATGATAAATAACAATTATTTGCAGTATTACTATTGATTTAATTCTTTGGCGATAGCAGGCAATCCGTACAATTATAACAACATAATACTGATATACGTCTAGTCATATTCGCGTGGCATAATCATAAGATCCATAAGGTGTCTGTTATCACAATTTCAGTCTTTTCGTTTATGAGATCGGCTCACTCGCGTGGGACCAATCGCATGTAGAGTCCGCTTCTGGGAGTCAGGGAGAAGCTCCTTGCCTCCTCCCACATGTCCTTGAGGGTCCTCGGGGAAGCCTCTACCTTAAAGTTGAGCAGCAGGTGATATAGCATTCCCTTGGCCTGCATGTGAGCAAATCGATTGGCTGAAATAAAATTTCGTTTGATAAGCTGATAAGGTAAAATGTGGGATCTGATTCCTTCACAGAAGTTGGCTTACCTATGCAGCTGCGGGGACCCGCGCCAAAGGGTATATAAGTATATGGCACAAGGTCGTTTTTTTGCTCCTCGCTAAAACGCTCAGGATCAAATTTCCTGGGTTCGGGAAAGTAGCGGTCATCCCCATGAAGACCGGCTATAGGAATAGTAACGCGGTCACCCACCTCGAAGTCAAAGAGCTTTGTGCCGTCCGTATCGGTGAGAGTGTAGTCCTTGGAGCAGACACGATCCGTGGAGGGTGCCAGCGTCCACTTGCGCAGCGTTTCGGAAATGACCATGTCCATGTAGGGCATCTTCTGCACAGCGTCGTAGGTCAGGGATCCACCCTTCAGGGCTTCCCTGGTCTCCAAGATCTCCTCGTACAGCCGCTGTTGAATGTCGGGATTCTGCAGCAATTCATAGGCCGCAATGCAGATCAGGTTGGAGTTGTTGTCGAAGGCGGCGAAGAAGAAAATGAAGCACTGGGCCACGATCTCGTCGTCTGTCCAGTTATTCTCAGACTCCTTCTTGGCCTCCATCATCAACTGAATCATGTCCGGACGGGTGATGTTTTGCTGCTCGCGCAGCTTCATGGCATCCACCACTAGACTAACAAAATAGTCCACCTTCTTACCGTCAAAGATCTTCATGTTAAAGAGCTAGGGAAAAACACTGATGAGGTACTCCGTGGTGGGATCTTAAAAAGCTCGTGGACTTACCGTAAAAACCTTTGGCATGAGGGCAGACAGCGTAAACTTGAAGAACTGGATGCCCCGGGAGAAGATTAGTTCTTGGCCAACGGAGTAGAACTCATTTTCCGGGTTCTCAAACGAGTTCACCTTCAGGCCGAACGCCGTTGTGGCGATCACGTCGCTGGAAAGTTTGTTAAAAAGGAGCTTCACATCCACCTCCAAGTCACTGGACTTGTGCAGGTGCTGCAGGCACTCGGCGAAACTCTCGTTCATCAGGGTAAACATATTGCGCATCTTGGCCGCCGTGAAGACTGGGGTCATGGTGTTTCGCATGCGCTTCCAGCGCTGATCCTTCATCACATTGATCATGTCGTTCAGCAGGCGCTCGTTGGTGGTGAGGATGAAGTGGTGGTTGGGGAAGTGGTCAAAGTCCTTCACGCAGACCTTCTTGATCAGCTCCGGATCGTTGAGCTGCACGTAGGCCTTGCGGAGGTTGAAGAAGCCCACGACTTTGCTGGAGTTCAAAGCGGATCTTGAGTATATAAATCGCTTATGGCGGTAAACAAAGGACTTACTGGTGGCGCGTGCGAAGATAGAACTCGGTGAGCTGCTTCTGCAATGAGATTCGCTGGAGGGCAGAGGCGGCCACGTTTCCAAAGAACGGCCAGGGCTTTTCGTAGGGCAGGTTGCGCGTTTCAAAGTTTCGGAAGGTAGCAGTGGACCACTTGTAGACGAGCAGAGCGAGGCCCAGTAGGGCCAGGCAGACTTCGAGGTAAGCCATGTTGGGTTATGGTAGGTTGTATGTAGCACTTGCGAGCTGATAGTTTGTTTAGTGTAAACTGATTTGAGAGCCAACCGGTTGGACAATTTATACCTGTCGGTAAAATTGCATTTGGAGGGCGAGATATCGCCTCTCAAGAGGTTAAGCTCGACTGAAGCCCGCCCATTGGGACTGCAAATCGATAAGTAGGAGCTTTTACCCCTCTCTCTCTCTTTTTCGCTCGTCTGATTTGGGTAATTTCACAAGTTCACAAGTGGAGCTTTTCAGTTCCCTCTCTTTCTCTCGGAAAATTGAATTTCATAATTATGCAAAAAGATCTCAAGTTGAACGAAAAAGCTCGCGCTTTTTAATAGAAAGTATAGTTCGGAATACACTAAGAGAAAACCCGTTTGATCTGCTCGAAATTTAAACCCACCTCTCTGGGGAAAAGCAAATTTTTAAATTTTGGTTCTATTTACATTTTCATATAAAAATAATATTTAAAAACTATTTCAAATATTGCACTGTACTATGTATATCGATAACTTTTTATACCCTTACAATTAAATTTCAGTTAGAAGTTTGATGGAAAAATAAGAGATCCGATCAGCCAAAAAAACCGCGTCGATCTAGCCAAATTTATCCTCCTGTCCGTTTGTCTGTAATTTTTCTTGATTATAGAGATATCTCCTTAAAATATATAGATACATTTATTATTTAAAAGTAAAATATATAATCACATTCCCGAGATGATCTCCCATAGACAAATATGTATCCAATATATATGGAAAACACGTACATCCAATAAATACATATGTGAGAAATATCTTTCATTCTTATAACTTATTTGCAGAATTTGTGAAACTATTTACTTACCCTTATATCTTTTTGATATTAAGCACATAGTCTGTTATCTTATAAAGATGTTGGGGTTATTTTATAATGCTTTCTCTGTATCTGTGAGTGCCTTAACGAATATACATATATTCTTTATCGGATCTTAAATACTTATTTTTGTATACATTGCAAAGAACCTGAACTTGTGTTCTAAGAGTAGTACCTGGTATAAAATAAAAATTTCGACGTAGGACTTGAGAGCTCCCGGTCTCCACTGTAGCTTTAACAAATTCGCTTGGGTATTCCGGGTTTATTCACCCCTTTGCTGGCTGCCAGGCTTGCATATAAATTCCTGCCAATGTATATATCGTGTGTGGATATGTAACGTGCATATATAACTTTCGTTTGCCCAGCCAACCGAGTTGCTTCCTTATTCTCCTTCCTCTGCTGCACACATAGGGAATGGGGAAAGTACTTTAACATTTTATGCGCAACTAAAATGTTAGAACATACTATATATATTTATATATATATACATATAACATGTATGTGATACTACACACAGGACAACTGTGAGGATGTTTCTGCTGTGGGTGTGTGCGCTGCATTTTATCAAAGCTTGTCCAGCAGTTGCCGATGTCTGTCAAGCCATAATGCCTGCTCCTGGCACGCCACCAGCCCCGATCCCAGCCACTGCCATTCCATTTGATTCTATTCTATTTCGCTCCTTTTTTATGCGCAAATCATGCTGCATCATTAAATCTTGCTGCTGTCGCTGCTCTGTGGCTGTTTTTGCCTTTGCATTTCCTTTCGCTTTCCTTTCAGCAGCTTTGCCCCGGAAATACCCGAAACCGACGGGAGGGAATTTACGGCTTTGGGCGTTGATTTTGCTCGGGATCTCCGCTTGCCAGGAGGGCCTCGCTTCGCCACAGTTTTATTTCGCTTTGTTTTTTATGGGTTTTTAAGTAGTCGTAAAGCGCAACACTTGATGAGATATTAAACGCTGAAAGGATACCGAAAACGGGACTGAGCTGTCCCGATTTGGGATCACACATTGTTGCACTTTGTTTGATTTGATGGCATTTTAAATATTGGTTTTTGAATTTTTCATTATTTCCTGGAGCAAAGCGCTGTCAATGGGCCTTTAATAGATTTGAGGCCTCGTAAAAAACTGGGAAAGGAAATGGTATACTGAGAGAAAACACCATAACTAAGAATTATTTCATTTGATTATACTTTTTTTAAATACTTTACTTAGTTAAATGCTCTTAAATAATAATGAACCCCTTGTTACATATTTTTATAAAACGAAAAATCTATAGATAAACTCACCATATTTTCTTTCCGTGTAAAGCTAAGAGCAGAGTCAGAAGGTGAGAAACAGGCACAACTCACCTGTCCGCCTCGCTTCTGTCTCATCAAGGAGTATAAAGAGACCACAAAACCCGAAGAACCTTGTCTGCAAACTTGTCAATGACTCCCAGCAACTAAATATTTTATTAGGCAGTTGGCAGCACACAAAAAAAAAAGCAGGGAAAATTGAAGAAGGACCAAGGACTCGGTGTATGTATGTGTGTGGTCGTGATTGCGTGAAATTTAGTAGCTCTTGGGGCGATGTAGGGACAGACAAGTTGATGCTGATGAGCCTCATGATGGGCACGACGACGATGATGATGATGTGGATGAGGATGTTTATGTGGGAGCCTGATGAAGCTGCCACTGCCGCTGCCAGCCTGTCAGGGGAATTCGGGAGATGGCGGCAAAGTTCTTTGACTTCCCCCCAAAGCTTCTCCCCCTGAAATGTTTGCTCACAATTGGCTGTACGTGTGCAACATTTTTAAGTAGCATCCGCCCGCCGCCACCCTCTCTGTTTGTCTTAAGTTTGGGGAAAATGCCAAGGCGGAAACATATGTTTTCAATTTAGCTTGCAAATGGCAGAACTTGATTGAATTTACCTAGGCCAAAATGGAGATCGATGCAGTCTCAACATGCCGAATCTTTAAGGTCTCCGAAGAGCATTTTCTATGAAGGCAATGCTGAAAAAAATGAATTGTAAGATAAAGTAAAAAATCCTTCCTTCAACCACCAAGAGACCAAAATATTAACTTAAATGAGTAGACACATACTTATTTTTTAAGCTTTCACTTTCTCTGAAACCCACATTTTCAATTCTTCCAGCAAGACCCTCTCTAATTTGCACCTTGCCCAATACACCAATGAAACTTTAACACATTGAGTCTTTAACGTGACCGAAGACTATACGAAAGTTCATCCGTCATCGGAGTCCCCAAAGAGCGAATGGCAGAAAGGGAAATTCGCAAATTACATTTGCGGCGTCTGGTAGTCTGCATCAATCATACGCACCGTGTTCGGCATCAGCAGCTGTCGAGGTGCCCGGGGAAGTGGCCTGCTCCTGGGGGACTCGCTTGGGGAAACGGGACGTTGACAGTGCCAGGCTCCATGTCACTCTATTCAAATTACTTGCGATTCGCCTTTGTTGTTAGTGAAAGCGTCGCCTAATTGCACGCCACACGATTTGCAAGTGAGAAAGCCAGCGCTCCTTTTGCCAGCAAATTAAAATAAATTGTCCGAAATTAAAGGGAAACTTTTACTTTTGCCTCGGCTTCGTGCTTGTTTGCCTGCTTAGGAATTCAAACGGCGTGGCCCAGGGGATCCTACATGGCCATGACTTGTCTGACAAGCAGGAATGTACATATATCCTCGGTGTGTGTTTGTCCTTTGGCTGACATTCATTGGGAATGCGGCGGGCGTAGGGACGTGGCTCAACTTTTTGCATATTACGCACTTGGTCACGTACTCTGCTCGTTTTTATTTTGCATAAGTTTCTGACGGATGTTGAGAGCGCAAAGAAAGGCAGCTTTAAGTCCGGATCCGGCAGGAATTAGCCCAATTAGGCGCTGCCCGGCATATGCAGACAGTGGGCCTCCGATAAGCGAGGCGATAAGGCCGAACAAAGGCAGCGGGCAATTTCCCGAGACACGGTAATTGCACGGAGTACAGCGTCGAGTTTGAATTATGGCCCGGCACTTATGAGCTTTTTACTGCTCTTCTCCGTTTCGTTTCGTTTCGTTTTATTTATTTGGCTTTTCATTTTGTGACTCCCCATTGGCGACCTTTGCCAGCCGCCCGAAACAAGTTCAATGGCTCCGTCCCGTCCCCTTTTCCAGCCCCGATCCTGCCCCGCAAGGCGGGCTACACGATTTTTTATTTCGCATGTTGCGACGCTAAGTGCTTCCTGTGCTTCTTTCTCGGGGGCTGGGCAAGGTGCCACATCAACTTTGGCTGCCACGCCATAATATTAATTGTGCCTGCCAGAAAAAATACATTTTTTTTTTGTTCAGCCTCTGCCGGATTGGGGAGGAGTCTCTCCGCACATAAAGGACATGGCCGGGGGCCACTTAAATGCCATTAAATTTTTATTTTATACCCCCGAATGAAGTGCGTGCGCTCTTAAATTTTTAATAATTATTCATAGCCGTTCCTTGGCCAGATAATCGCACTTTGTTCTCTCGGACGAGGCCAGCAGCTATTTGGTCAGCCCGCTTTTCCGGCCTCCCAACTTATGCGTATTTGCATTTCCGCACTTCACTCTCGCTTTTTGTGGGCCCGAGAATTATGATTACTTTCGAGCCAGCTGATGCAGCCCGAAAAAATAGGCAGGGTGTTCGGGGTGGCAGTCCCAGTTGCCGGCGGACCTTCTAGACTGCGAGTAGTAGTTCCCTGTCAGGGTTTGTCAACCGGGGGTAGAGCTGCCGAGTCGCTTCTGGTGGAAAATGACAAATTGTCTCATCAGTCAGAGCAAATGTAACCGAACGGAGCGCTACGCAGCGGAACACAATGGATCGAAGGTGGAGCGGGGTCACAGCACAAGTTTTTCCCTGCTGGCGGAACAATCATTATTATTGTCTACTTCTGAGGGCTTCATCTACACATCTGCACCGTAAGAAATATCGCAAGTACTAGAGGTATTAAAAGAAACCGAAGCTCAGCTTCAACTGAAGGTTACTAGGATGGTAACATAACCACTTAAACCTACCTTAAGAAGAGGTATCAGAGAAAGTAAGATGCTCAACGCCCATGTACTTGATGTACGATATGCAAGAGGATTTCCCTTGGCAACAAGATTAGTTTCCCTTCCGCTGGGAAATTTAAGAGCGTGAAATATAGAAGTACTAGAGCTGCAAACGATTTATAAGCAACAAGATGCGTAACGCGCTGAATGTATGCCATAGCAGTAAGTAATTTTATCAACTAAGATATTTTTAAGATCGTAAAAATCTTGAAAATCAAACCAA